TATCCATCTGTGTACACAGAAATTCACATTAACTACTTACATGCAGAATTCAACCAGACTCTCATAGATCTAAAGCAGAAATTCAGAAATTCCTCAACAAATAGTAATGTAGTTGGTGCAAGATGACGATTTGACTGCAAAATGACAGGTACTTGGCAGCCTTACTGTTAGAGAGGAATATAACCAGAATACAACCAGTTGGCAACTAGTTAAGTCAAGTCCTCTTAAGCAAAGAGACATGTCACAGGCGAGTTGTGCACAGACCGATAGCAAATGTGTTGGCACATTTGCTGTTTGGAAACCTTTGCCAGTCTGCCTGTGATTTATTATAAATAGTTAAGTCTTTGATTGGAGACAGGTTGCCTCCCTCTGGGTGACCTGTACAATCGCCTCTTGATTAAAAGGGGTAAGAGTGTGGCATGCTTAAACTCTGGGCAACTAGCTGGTGACCACAACTCCTTCCAACCAGTTATTGAATGTGAAAAAATGTAATTGAATCACTGGAAGACCACCCAATTTCCTTTGTCACAAGGAGTTTGCGGTCCTGCTTTCACTGAAGTGTGAGTGAGCCATGAAATGATAAAACTGGGTATGCTTTAGTAAGTGGAGGCCATGTATTTGAAAACCATGCCCGTGAGTAATCTCCTAGACACTCTACCCTTTGCATGCCTCTTCTAGCTCCAGAATCCCAAGATGGCAACAGCCAAAGGTCAGACTTGAGGTTTCAAAGCACAATTAGTCGACAAACACAGGGACTGCATGCTCACAGTGAGAATACTATGCTAAAAGCTATTATAGTTATTATGGTCACCACCTCACTTTTGCCATTTCACTCGGTTAACATGCTAAAAGTAAAATGTTGGGTAATTAGCACTACATCATCAGTTATGTATAAAAACAAAACAAAAGAATAAAAGCAGTAAAACAATCAAACAAAACATCCACAGAACTTTACCTGGTCCTATACATGCATTATATAAAACAAACTGTAAGCTACTCAAGATTAATTGAACAAATAAAAAACTAAATCACTACAAAGAATCTAAGTAATCAAAGTTTCAAAAAAGGTTGCCTCCCACTGGACGACCTGTGGTTATTATTAAAAGAACTCATAAATAGCTCGTGCAGAACTAAACGTGGGGATATTTTCATGTTTCGTTAATGTACCTCTTAATCATTTGTTTCTGAGAAGGGGTTTCAAATGTGAACTGTACTTTTCTCCTTTATTTTAATGTAAACACCCCAAGAGAAGCATTTGAAATGAACCACTTTCCCCCATGGAGACAGCTGAAGCTAATTTTTTAAGTAGAAAGACTTCGAAGTCCCAGAGACTTACAATGAAATATTTGGCAAGTTAATGTAATAATTATTGCTTATTAATTAATCGTGTTCAGAGCATTTTAATGAACAAGCCAAGGTTAAGTTCACACCCCAGTGCTATAATTTAATGATGGCTGTGTCCCCGGCATTAAGCCTGCTTTTTAAATAACCCACTTTATTTTTAACACGCTCATGCATTAAAAATCTAAAGCTTTGGTGAGTCGATTTCGTACTTATCAGAGTGCCGGAATTACTCGGATTATAAAAGTGCACTCTGTTTGCGATTACTGCAGGCCACACTGAAACAGCGCCGTCGTGAACATGGAACTGAAACATGAATCAAAGCGAGGAGAGGAAGAGGAGGAGGCCGTAACATTTTTATTGATTTATAGGACGTAAAACTCAGATTTATTGGGAGCCAGATTCCAGTGCATACTGAATAAAAAGTGTTCCAACGGGGTTTGTAGTTATTAGATGAGGTTTCCACTCTTTTGTAATGCATGTAAATGAGATTAGAAACAATAATGTTCACTGCTGGTTTTATTTGTGTGACTGTAAACTGCTCACATGCCTTTTAAAAACCAAAACCTCAATTTTTGTTTATTTGTCACTGAGCAGCTACACTGCAGCAGAAGTATGGTGAAATGCCTTGCTCAGGGGCTCCTTGTTGGTAGGTTTCCAGTGACAAACCCATATGTTTCACATACAGTTCGCCAGTCAGTGCTCCCCACAGAGCCCAGCCAATCTGTGTGTGCTAAAAGGCGTGATGGAGTTATGGGCTAGGCTGAGGGGTGATGATGGACGAGCTGCTGACGGCTCAAGGCTGCGGTGATGTGTATCTCAACCACCCAGTAAATGGAGACTGGGTCCAGAAATCCTTTCTTAACCCGTGATTGAATCCATACATGAAAGACAAGGCAATACCAGCAGCGTCAGCTGGAGTTATGTATGAAAGAAACATGTCAGATACAAAAGAAAACCAATGGTAGTTTTGTGTACTTCCCTTTTGCAGCAACCGATCTTGTGTGGTAAGCGTGTTGTGAGTGCTGATAAGCCAGGAGCTGTAACAGTTTTTAGTGGATTGTCTTGTGCTTGCACTCTAAAACTCTTGTGCTTGTTGATCAAATGCCAAAGAGTTTTGCGTTCGAAACCAGAGTGCATTAAAAGTGCAGCAAAAATGCAATTTGCATTCAGACCAGTGACATTACAGTTATTCTCCATTAAGCAAATGATGAACAGGGTTTAGTCGTGACACAGTGCGTTTTCTTTTCCCAACTTTGCCGCGCATTCATTTACTTAAGTAAGTTTAATCTCATCAAAACAAACCAAGCATATTAGCTTCAATTAGGTAAATCTCCCATTTTGGATTCAGTGAGGGCTTTTTTCCTCGGTTGGCAAAGCGTAGCTAAGGGCTCTTACTGAAGATTCATTACAAATCCCCTTGCTCCTGTAACATATAATAAGATATATAAAAAAAATATATATACAGTAACAGTAAGATAAATGACACAGCTTGCTTGCTTCTCTGTCATCCTCGCAGCTGTAACCTCTGAGGTCCCATATTCAATTAACTTAATCTATGTTAGTTCTGGGCAGTGTGACATCAGTCTTGGGGAATAAAAGAAAATTATAGAGGCCCGTAAAACCCTGATTAATATTTTTTTATGAATAATCACCAAATGCATTTTGTTTAAAGTCCCTTGCCAAAACATCACTTTAATAATATTACTGAACACATATAAAATATATCACAACTCTAACAAAACAAGACGAAACTGCGTCAAATGCATTATAATTTTGAAGGAAACCACTTATTCAGTATTTAAAACTCATTTAATTTAATGAAAGGGAATGTACACTCGTGGGTCCTTTTATTAGGCACAATGAATTTGAACATGGCAAGGTTGTTGACGCCAGATGGGCTGATCTGAGTAGTTCAGAAACTGATGATCTACTGCAGGGGTGGGAAACTTCAGGCCTGCAGGTTTTAGATGTGTCCTTGATCCAACGCAGCTGATTTAAATGGCTAAATGACCTCCTCAACATGTCTTGAAGTTCTCCAGAGGGCTAATAATGAACTAATCATTTGATTCAGGTGTGTTGACCCAGGGTGAGATCTAAAACCTGCAGGACACCGGCCCTTGAGGCCTTGAGGCCCTGATCTACAGGGATAGGAAGGCAGCAGTAATTCAAGGAACCACTCGTTTCTGCTGCAATAGCTTAATGGTAAGGTCAGAATTTGGTGTAAACAGCATGAAAACATGGATCCATCCTGCTTGTATCAACGGTTCATCAGGGAAAAAGAGGGGTCCAACACAGTACTAGCAAGGTGTACCTTATAAAGTGGCCAGTTTGCACAATTTAAAGACTCATTTCATGTGTTTAAGGTTTTTAATGTGCTTTTAATCTTTAAAAAAAACTGCTGTTTAATGTGTTTTCAGGAGTTCGTTACAGCAGAATATTTATCAGTAAGACAGCGATCATAGAGTTTTCTAACATCATTAAGATTCTGTAGGAGGACATTATTTTGTTTTGCCTTGATAATTTCAGTGTATTTAATATATTTCCCTGTCGGTTTTCATGTATTCGTGTCTTCCTGGTGATGGTGCATGTAAAGACCTTGTTCTCCAGCAATAGAAGCCGGTGATAAAGCGCTGCAGTATTTCGCACTGTGATAAATTTCCTTTCTGCTTGCTGGCTGTTCTAATTATCTTGCTTTCTTGTGGCTTTATTTTATGAACTGTTCCACAGTCCTGCTGAACTTGCACTGATAGAAACTGATGAAAGTTGCTGAGCGTTCTTAGATTATTTAACTCACACAAATCAGACAACAATGCAGGCCTAAACAAACTTTCTTTAACTTCTTTGGAAGTTAAAAATGTTCAGGCTTTCCTATGTTACCGTTAAAATTGATTCTTAACCTAAGATTTGCACAAGGTAAATGAACCTGGAACCTCAAACCTAAAGGAGCCACGCCAGTGATAATAGCAGTGGCAACAAAATTCAATTTTTGGTGTTGGGTTCTTTTAAACGTGGCTTCTGCGGCACAAATTTCACAGCGTGCACAGTGGGGTTCAAAGCCAAATGACTGAAGAATGAAGAAAATTACAAGATGGCGGCATTGACTTTGAACCCTATCCTGAAAATAATCAGGCCTTGGATGGATGTCAGGAATACAAAGTCTTAATAGCAGCCCATATTTTATTTTGATGTTTTGAATTGGTTTGGTAGTTTTATGGTGCTGTTTGTTTTTGTTCTGATCAAATTATTTATGTTAATAAATTTTAAAAACACATTTTTCCTCAATAAAGTTTTATTACACTCTAATAAACAGTGAAATATTAGATAAACTAAACTGGAATAATTTCAGGACCATGGACAGCGTATGTGTTGTTTCACAATGATCTTATGGACTGTGCTGTTTTTAGTAGTTAAAATGCACTAATTCAGCTGCATGCCCTTTGAAAATACGTAAGATATAGATCACAGGTGCTTCTTATTTGTCTGTTACCTTCATTAGCCATAATCATTGTTGATTCATTTTGGTCTTTGGTCCTTGCTATGAAAATGTGTGATAGGAGAGGCTGGAAGTCTAAATTTGGAAGCAAAAACTAAGTAGCCTTGACAGGTGCTCTGCAAGTGCCCTTAAAGTTCTAATGGACTTGCTTCCTCTCCTCCAGCCCTTGAAGCTGAACTGCGAACTGTGCAGCATCGTGTCCAGCTCTGGTCAGATGTTGGGCCAGGGTGCCGGCCCGCAGATAGATCGTTCTCCCTGCATCTGGCGGATGAACAACGCACCCACACGGGGGTTTGAGAACGATGTGGGCCAACGCACGACTCTGAGGGTCGTCTCTCATACCAGCGTTCCCCTGCTGCTGCAGAAGCCCCAGTACTTCTTCGGCCAGGCCAACGACACGGTCTACGTTGTGTGGGGGCCGCTCCGGAACATGAGGAAAGACGGGAAAGGCATTGTGTACAACATGCTGCGGCAGGCGTCGGAAAACTACCCTCATGCCCGCATCTTTGTCACCACAGAGGACAGGATGAACCACTGCGACATGGTCTTTAAGAAGGAGACTGGAAGAGACAGGTGAGTCAAACTGCAGTTGCCCTGTTTTTGTTTTTGGCACAGCATCACTGAATTCCGCAGCAGACCTCCACTTTTTCACTCTGACAGATTTGCTGCTCAGCACTTTGACATCTACCCCTCTGTTTGTTGCTATAATATTGATCTTATCAGTACTGATGGTCTGTTCATTGCTCTGTGCTTTTCTCGTCTCAAATCTTCCCTCTCACGAGGCTTCATCAAAGTGAGTTACTTAACTTTGCCTCTAAAGAGGCTCTGCATGGCACTGGGGGCCATTTTTTGAAAAATGAGCTCTTACACAGCGCCTTAGAAGTGTGCTGTGCCTGGGTTATAGGCATCAGCCAAATGCTGGTCTGGGAGAAATCTGGTTAATGAGGTAGCATGATTCTGGCAGTCTTTCTAAGCACCCCCAGACACAGCTGGTCTCACAACTTCTCCGACAGCGTCTTGGCACATTCTGAAAAGCAGTGAATTGATTTAAGTTGCAGATCAGTGAAAGTTTTTAGGGATATTTTACTACAACCTGTGTTAAAACTGCAAACCGCAACTTAAAGAGAGGCTCACCTGGTTATTTTTTTTTCCTGTCAATTCCCCAGAGAGAATTGCAGGTTAATGAAAATGGGATCAAAGCTCGAGGCCTGCTTTTGTTTAGGATGAACCTAATTTCTCAGATTAGTCTCTGCTCATTTCTGCAGCGCTTTATACCTCTGCCTTGCCCACATGTCATCAAGACCTGCCTTAACTTCTTAAGAGGATTAACGTGTTTGGTAATGGGCGTAGCATCCATTCCATTTCGGCTCCATTGTCTCGCCGTTATTCATGATGGCAGGGTTAACACTGAATTTCATGTAGAGCATCCATGTTCATCTTGGCTCAGCTGTTGCGAAGGCCCACAAAGCACAGATAGAAGCGTGGGATTAGGGAGGGATGTTCGGGGAGAAGAATCTCATTACGCAACATAATGCTCCTGGGTGAGATGCAGCACTTCAGTCGTTGCTGATTGGTATCACAGACCAAACTCAATGTGTAACAAGAAACCCGTCAAATGAAAATGTGATGAGCACTGAGAGGTTCGTCTGTATGTTTTTCGATCATTTTTTTTGTGCTTGCCTCAAACTTTGCTGCACTTATTTCAGTATTTTAATGTAATCACAAGTAGCGAAGGGGATAATTGCCGTTATGTTGAAATAATACACTAAGGCACTGCTCTGAAATTCTTTATTTCACTCAGACATGAAATATCTATTAAAAAACATGGTCCTTTCCTTCCCTTATCCATGCAAACTACATTTATTAATGTCTACAGCAATATTATAACTCTTAAAATACCACAGCAGCTTGTCTGCCGTTACCTTGTAATTTGTGAGTGTCTGTGTTTGCTGGTTTACTGTCACTGCTTTCTGCATGCGGGGATAATCATCAGCTTGGCAAAGATGGAACACTGATCGAACACAACTCTAATTATCCAGATTGCCGCAAGCAGCCTAGGAGACGTGCCGTCCCAGCTTCGACTTGCTTACTTGATCAAGGGGAGAGAGGCGTCAGCGCTGACTGATTAGCCAGCCAACCGTGTAACTGTCTCTCAGCCTGTCAGGAAGCTCAGTCATCTCTGGACAGAGGAAATTAAACTGTGGGGTAATTAGAAAAGCGGTTATGATAATCTAAACGGAGCTACAGTGAAGACCACCTCAATTAAGCTGATTTAAGTCAGGAGCAGGTCAAAAGGAGGTGCAGACTACGTCACGACCAGGATCACAGTGTGACACAGCACCTGGCATAATGCGCCACGTTCTTTAGTTTAGTTTTTTCCCGCGTCTTTGATGCTTATCTTCCCTGTTTGTCTTTTGTGCCCCGCCCTCATTAGTTTCATCCATCATCTCTCTGCCTTCCTAATCCTGTCTCTCCCTCTATCAGTTTGTCTGTTTGTTGTTCCATGCATTTTCTGATGTGTTTGTACATTGGACTCTGTATTTATCTGGACTGCAGTCAGACTGAAGTCTTTCCTTATTAGCTTTATTAACACTCACTTTTTGCTGGTTGTGCTCCTGCTTTTGTCTTTGTTTAGGTCTTTCTTTTGATAAACATAAGAAGATATTAGAAAACCAACGATGTGCTAAAGCTGAGCAGACTCTGTTTATATGCGAAGTGTAGATGAGAAATACAAAATCTTCTAAAGTTGTTGGGCCCCCTTATTTACTAAGTGTATACTGTTTCTTTGTTATAGTTAAGTTAGGACGTATAGACCCTCTTTAATGTTGTTTCTGTATCTGAGCCTCGCAAATATATGCTAACTGAGGCTCCTCTTCTTCTTCAGCATGCTGCAAAGTCGTTTCCCTTGTTTGTTAAACAGACTCAAGTCCTTAAACCATCTACTTGTCATTCTACAACAGTACAGCTTTTATTAGCACTATTCATGTGTAGCACACCTTTAAGCTAAGCTTTTAAAATCTCATGGTATACACTACAGCCTCCGGGCTCACAACGTCCAGGACACCAAATGTTTTACGCTTCAGAAAAGACGAATCACTCCTAGATTAGGGCTATTTTTTCAGCAAAATAATTCAGCCCTCAGACAGCAGCAACCTGGATGCATTGTTGTGGATCAGGTGACTGCAGGCACACTGTTGGCTGCATTTTTGGGCCTGACTAGCACATCCATGGAAATGTGACACATTTTCTCAATGCAGCCCACACCTATTGTGATTGCGATTGTGTACTGTGGATTCCTCCTATGAATTTAGTGTTATTTTTTTGCCACAGTTTTTGAATGCATCAGTCAGAGGATTGCCTCGATATAAAAGCCATAGCCTCAACATAAGGACTCACAGATGTCAGCAAAGTCCTAAGGGGGAGATTGCTGAAACTATTAGAATGATTGTGATGGAAAGTACAAAGACATAGTGGCTGGTATAAAACACTGTGACATAAGCACAAGGTAATTAACACATAAAAAAACCATGCAGAAGCATTAATGATGGCAATGATGGCGACCACTCACGGCGGCCAAGATTCACTGCAGAAGTCAAAATCAGTTGTTAGTCTAACAATAACTCACCAGGTGGCAAATCATTATCATCCGTTTTCTTAACTCCTTATGTTACTGAGTAAATATTCAGTTAAACTTTAGAAAGAAAAATAAAAATGAATTTTTCTGTAGTGAGGTGTCACACTGGAAGATTCAGCTTTTCTAGTATCCATGCCATACACGTTGACATGTGGACTGGATTGAGGATAGAGTCGATTGTCTATTGTCGCAGAACGTGTTCCTCAAAGAAAATTCAAAGAGCTGCTCACAGCTTGAAAGAGAGTACAAATGGATTGTGGTGAAGCAGCAATGCATCAGAGAGCGAACAAATATAAATGTTTGGGGGGAAAAAATAAACAAATTTGTTCTTTTTAGGATGTGCTGAGATGTGGAACATTCTGAGAGAGCTTCATTTTAATCCAATTATTGACACAAAAGACAAGTGAGTACATATTAATACATTTAAAAATCTTCTCACAGAAAAGTATCTGTTTGTCTCAAGTCTAATGGCATGATGACGTCTTGGGTTCAAATCAAGTCAAGACCATTAGTGTCCTCCGTGTCTCTCTCCTCATCCATCCTCTTCTGAGAACTAAGAGGTAATGATGATAATCTAAAAGCGATAAACAGGAAATGGCCAATCCAGCTTCTATCTGGAGCCATGATAATGAACAGTCCTGCACGTGAATGTATTTGACAGCCACTTAAACATATGATTCATAATTGCGCACTGCGGCTGGAAGTTGCACGAGCTGAGGCTGGGTGTTATCAGCACCACCTCCTGAGCTGCAGTCGCCGGCTGTCGGAGCGTATCGGCACTGGCCTGTTAGCGGCAGTAGATAACGGGCCTGACGACGACACAGGACTTTAATCACACTGTCACTTTATAGCACTGCCACCTAGGCCTGCGTGACCTGGGTCTCTGCTTCCTGGCCAGCTGCTCCTTCATGGCACCACCGTGTGTTTCTGTTCAAATGTGTGCGGAAGTAGATTGTGAAACGAATGTGTGAGTTTTCACAAGTGTGTCACCACCCTTCTGTTTATGATAGTGTGAGCAATGTTCTTTCTTCCTGTGAGTCTTTATTGCCTAATGCTGCAGACTTGGCTCAGGTGGCAGAGTGGGTGGTGCACTGCACCCAGGTGGCTTGGTGGTTTGATCGCTGGGAGCAGCATGGGCCACAGCCATCTTTGAAGGCCAAGCTCCTCCTGATGGCAAGAAGACGTCTTACTTGGCAGCTCTACTGCCATTTGTGAGTGACTGCTTTATAGACCTGCTTTAAATATGTATAGTCACAACTGTATTTGTTTTAGCTGTGAAACATCTTAAAGATCAGACACATTTCAGCTTTTTAAAAGCTTCCTGGTTAAATAAAGGTTAATAAATAAATAAAATGCTAATCTGACTTAAAAAAAAAAGTAACACATAATGAGTTTTATATAATGTCTTCAATGGTTAAAAATGCTGCGGCTATTTTTGTCTAACAAGTAGAAAGATAATGGAGCACATTACAGCAGTGTTGGCCTGTGTTGGCCAGTACAATTTAAAGTCAGTATAAAAATTATAGTTAATGCTCATCAGCCTTGACATAGTGAAATCCCAAGATGCCTTTCTGAATTGTTGTGCTCGAGCTTGTCAAACCAGCATCTGGTGAGTGTGCAGGAAGTCAGCCTTAGGTGTCAGAAGGTTGAGCTGTCTGTATGAAGACAACAGCTACTGTTGACTGCTCCTTCATTCAGAAGAAGTCCCCACAGCAGGTAGCTCTGCATGTTTAATTTGGTGGTTTTTACCCTGATGCCCTTCCTGAATCAAACCCAAAGGAAATTTGTGTTTTACCCCCAGATCGAACCGGGGATCTTGTGTGACAACAGAAATGCAACCAACAACTTTCTTAAATAATAACAATCAATAATCCAGTAATTGTTACCTTTTTCAGAACTGCATTGGATGTTTTGTTGACCTTTTTTTATTCAAATTCAA